TTAGCTATGTGAGCTTTGGTTTCTTTGTGCCTCAATGTCCTCAGTTATAAAAAAGGGAAATCATCTGCTCTATTGAAGTGTTGTATTTAAAGCATTTATTGTTTTAAGGGTTATTCTTGGCACTTTGATATGCTCAATAAATTTTAATCCATCTTCTCTTTCTCCTTAACATTGTTGCTTTTGTTAAGGCAAAATTTTAAAAGTCTCTAAGCATTCTAAAATTTACTAAAATATGTCCTTTGATAACTATCTTTTCTGTATATTAAAACTTAGTGAGGGATAGAATAAGCTTTCTGGGGCTAGAAAAACAAGAATGAGTTTAGTGAAAATTATCAAATGTTACTACTTTAAGTCATTACCAGAAAAACCTGCCCAAATTAGTAAGGATCTTTAACTATAAAACATTTCAAAGCGATTTTTTTCAATTATGTAGAGAAAACTATCAAAATTAGCTAAAAAAAAAGCCTTAACTAGTAGAAAGTTTGGGGAGAATCTCTTTAAACAAAAAGACAAAACATCTTTTGTAGTACCTGTGTCTATAACATATAAGTTTAAAGGAGGCTTCCAGATCTCTTAAAAAAGATTATATCTTCCTAAGGTATTTAAAACATTCTTAAACTGTTTTGTGAACTTTGCTAATATTAGCTCGGAAGAGGTACTTCTCTTTCCAAATTCTAAAAATGTCAAAGCAGGAATGCTTCTGTTCAAATCCTATATTCCAATGTTATGGAATACAAATCAATTAACTGCAACTTCAAATGGTTATACATTAGTGAAAAATAAAAAAAAGAAAGCAAATGAAATAACACAACTGACCTCTGAATAACACCAGCAGCACTTGTAGTCATACTACAGGTGACTGTAGTAATAATCATGCCATAATAATCATGACATAATATCTGATCCCTTAAATGGGGCCATATAGCCTCTTAATGCCGTTGAAGACAGACAGATACACAGAGAGAGAGAAAAAAGAGAGAGAGAGGGAGAGAGAGAGAAAAAAGCCCAGAGAGGACAATTGCCTTGCTGAGGCTCACATAGAAAAGTTATCTGAATATCTAAGGGTAAAATTCTCATCATTTCTAGACCATTCTACTGGCCCATACTGCAGGCAGTGTTTGATAGAAATTGTATTCACAAAATTTGCCTGTGATTAGTTGTTTAGAATTAAGAATGCTTCTTCTAAGATTAAAAGAAAAACATGTTTTTGAAAGGTCATTGGCTTTCCAAGAGTACCACTAGATGCACAATTCTGCACTTAGTGTTGCAAACCCTAATTTATGTACAGAATGTGTTTCCAAAGGGGAAAAATACTTGAAATTATTATTTGGATGCAAGGGAAACATCTCCTCCACATTCTGCAACCTGGCTGCTTCTGATTAGAAGTGTCCTTCAAACCTGGTTCCCTGAAAAACACAACCCAATCTTAACAGTGATTTTCTAATACCTGGCTCTAGAAGAAAGCAAAGAAGTTTTTTGAAGTTATACTGGAGGGGTAGGGGTAAGTGTAGGGAGCAGTGGAGTTCTAAAGGTGAGGCAGTGATTGTGGTCTTCCTGGGTGTCAACAATAAGGTGGTGCATTTAAACAGAATTTAGAAAACAATAATTAAATGAACTAAATGGACAGGGTAGTCTGTTTTCTACTAGCATCATGAGCTGGCAATTCTAAATAATAACAATTATTAGTGTTAGTCTAAAAAACATTTTGTTAGGCTATATTCTAAATAAGTGATGTGGTTACTATTAATATTTACTATAAGTTAAAATAGCACATTTTTTTACTTATCCTATAACAGACATCATATGAGCTCGACACATACAAACTCAGTTACAAGTTTTTCTTTCATTAGTAAGTTCATAATAGTTCCAAATACACTGAGCTCCCTAAGGGCATAGTGTGTGCATTCAAGCCCTGTGGTACTATATCTTTTTTTTAAATGTAAATAGTAGATAATAAATCAACAATGACAGCACATTGATTATGAAGATGAAGAAACAGAATTTGAGTTAATTCAATTCTGTCTTTCCATGTGACCAAAAACAGTTTTTATGTTTAAAACAGTGAAATTAATTATGAGCCATAAAGTATAATGGTTTTGTTTGGTAAGCTCCAGTCGCTCAAGTTGGTAACTGGCTAAGTGATCCATTTGGAATTGGCTGCCTTCCCTGCCCTCTTTCTTTTTCCCACTCTCCTAAGCTATTTCTTTCACCTCCCTAAAAAACTATTTGCCCTCAAATCCTCATCTCAGACTCTGCTTCTTAAGGAAACCAAATTAAAATGCACCACAATAATCCTATGACAAATCTTACAAATATGGCTCCAGTTCCTGGCAGGAGAGTAGGCATACTTGAGCCTCGTTTCTTTAACTCAACTCCTGAATTTCTCCATATCAGACCCTAAGGAAAAGATACAGAGGAAGCCAGTGTGCAAGCAGCAGTTGTTTGGATACAGATAGGATTGCATTCACATTCATCTACGTCTAGAGGAAATCCCAGACATAAGGAGCCTCCCAAAATGTTCCAGTTACAAATAACACAGCTGAATCTGGAGATCAAAAATGGTGGACAGGCCGGGCTCGGTGGCTCACGCCTGTAATCCTAGCACTCTGGAAGGCCGAGGCGGGCGGATCGTTTGAGCTCAGGAGTTCGAGACCAGCCTGAGCAAGAGCAAGACCCCGT